TCTGTCCATATACTAATGGGGTGACATTACATGGGATGACACAACATAAATCAAGGTTACATGGGCCAACTACCCCAATAAACAATAAATTCCTGATTATCAGCTGGGTCATTCCTCTTAGCAGACCAGCTGCTTAGGGGAAACAGACCAGCACAGAAAATGCAAACCAGTACAGAAAACTCCACTAGTGGGAATCCCAGTACCAGGGATTTTTCTTATGAGAAAATGACAATGAATTTAATGAAGGCTGCTCATACCACTGATTCTTCAGGAATGGATGACAGACAGAGGAAAGCAATGTCATAGCAGAGCAGCAGCAGCCATAATTGCAATTAAGCTTTTCTTTTGTTATATCTTTCAGGGCGGTTGACCAATGTTTTTCCCCAAAAATCTTGAGATGAACTAGTAAGTTCAGTTACAAGAAAGAGTGATGTTCCTGCTGAACAGGTCAGAAAATTCATACCATAGCAAGTCATAAATTACTATCATTTTATTCCTTCCTTATTTACCCATTTTCAAATTAATGCATTGAATGCACCAAACCGAAAATGATACATTACAAAGAGTTCAGTTACAGCAAAGGTTATCACATTTTCTTCATGTTTTCTTGTCCAAAAGCAATTTGTCTGCTACTTTTAAGGTCATTATACTCAAGGTCAGACTACATAAGAAAATTTGATGCTAAGAGTTTTAAGCTGTCTGCTAGGTTTTGGGGTTTTCCTCCTTGCCAAATAGCATTCAAGTATGTTTATTGATTAAATAGAATTTCTTTCCAAAACAAAACTTCCAGAGGCCACAAAATCTCAGGTCCAGGACTGTTATAAGAATACACATAACATATAATCCTAACCCATCTTCAGCAGTGTTATTAAAACATGCAATTTTATTAAGTCTCAAAATATCTAGTGATATCTTCAATGTCCCAGCTTGTGAAAAATCTAGATTTTTAAAGCCTAACTCATGAAAGCCTGATACCTAGTCCTAAAAAGATATTCAGGGAATCAGTGTCTTCAGAAGGATGTACTGGGCTTCGGACACTCTGCAGCATTTCCAGGATATAAACCCAAATTCTTGGCCTGCATTATTTCTGATGAAGACAGAGTCAGTAATCTCTCCACTTATAATGTCTAAATTAGGTTACTATAAATCACGGATTTATGACAAATGAGATAAACATTCCCAAAATACCTTTTGGCAAAATGCTTTTGGACTGCAATTTTGCCAGATTTTTATTTGTCTGCAAAATTGTCAGTCTATAGTGTACAGAGACACCATTTAGGTTCTGTCATACTACACAAAACCACTTTGATGCCTTACTCTTCCCATTTGTATAGGTTATGCATATCAGTGACTCCCCAACTTCTTTTTATTTGGGCAACACTTAAAAATCTGTGGGTTTTGGTGCAATATGTCTAGAGCTCTTCATTCTGTCATCTATAATGTAGGCAACAGAATTCTGCAATCCCTCACTTCAAACTACATTTGCTTAATTTTAAAGATATTATTAAAATAATGGCTTTTTACAGGTTGAGATTACCAGTCTGGATTTATTTCTACACGAAGTATTTATCTGATTCCTCAAAACATGGTAAAATAAAATTTAAAAGCTTCATTTAGTTTCTGAAGTTGGATTTAACATGTCCTATTGTTTTATTGCAAGGAGACCACAACTCCCAGTGGTGCAACGCTACCGGTAAGAACTATCTAATAAGGATGACGCCCAAATTGGCTGGGACTGCGTAAACCAGTACTACTAAACTGTTTTCACTTCTACATGCTGAAGCTTGCAAGATTTTTATAAACCAAATAAAAATTATTTACAGGCAAACAGAAAGCAAATGATTAACAGTGTATTTCATTTTTATTTTTATAATGCAGAACAGAAAAGAGCAAGTGATGCTAATCTGAGGAAACAATTTCATAGTGTGTCAGAATTATGATTTCTACTAGAAATGCACAAATTATGCCATTCAGTGCTTCGAAATTCACAGAAAAAGTATTATAAAAGTGAAGTCCTGCTGTGGCAAATATGCCACATAATTTTTGTTCTGATAAGAGCTATTTAGATTAGGGCGTGACTTTTCTCCGATATAGCTGTGCTAGTACAACCCCTAGTGTGGACATAGTTTACTGCCATGAAGGCATTATACCCGTACAACTTATAAAGCTTCCTCCTAAGGAGAAAAAGTATTAAGTAAGGCACTGTTATTTCAGAACAGCTACATCCACAATGGGAGGGCTGAGAGAGAAAAAGAGAGGGCAGTAGGTTATGCTACTTTACAACATACTGGGTCAGATGAACAGATGCAGGTTTTGTGTAGAGAAACTGTGTGGTATATGGCTTTCCAACCCCCTTCCTCCATAATCCTAATGGCAATCAGGATCATGATGGATGATATTACAAAACCCTCGTTCAATTTAAGTGACAGCTCATCGCTTCTTTGTTTTTAGTTTAAGAAACATCCGTGTCAATTATTAATTGACATACCTAGGTATCAGTATTTGTTATTAGTCTTAACTAAGTAATAAAGATAGGAAAAGAGATATTAGAATAAAAGAGAATCAGACCAAAGACACATAATCCCTTTAATTTTTTTAAATGATACAAATTCAGTGTTGAAGAACTTTATAAATATCAGTGTACGATAAATATATATCTGTATTTAGTGACACATAAATATATGTATCTGATGATCCTAAACTGTACATATGGGGATTTTTGCCTATTCTGACACACCTGAATAACTTTAATCCCTTTTAAAAAGTCACAACATATATATAAAGTCAGATACATCTTCAAACCCAAAATTTATCCACAGAACAATTAAAAATATAATCATACCTCAAGAAACAGTAAACACAATTCTTTGCATCAATTAATATAGAATGGCATGAAAATATTCATACATTATTGTGTCTCTACTTTTAAAAAATAAATATGTATTTATTATGAACAGATGGTGGCCAAGGAAGGTATCAACTCTGTCTCCTAGCCAGAAGGTCAGGTCATGGCTGAGAGACCAAAGAACAATTACTGTTTGCTATTCAGTAATTTCATCATATAAGATGAAACATTTTAGTTTTTTCTTTGAATACAAAGCTAGATGTGATTGAGCTGTTTTCATTTAATTCAAATGAAATAATTTGCAATGATTTATTAACATTTGTTAACATTTCATTTGAAACAAAAAAAAAGAAAAAAGAAAAAACCCCTTCCCCCAAACCCCAAAAACCAAAACCCCAAAATAGATACACACTCTTTTTTGTTGCCTTTTAACATGTTAAATAATTATAGGATCTATACAGAACTTTCTTCGTTACTAGAGCCACAGCTATAAAACAGCTGCTAGATGCAGAACCTGAGAATTTCAAAATAGTTTGTTTTCCTTTTTTTAAGGAACCAATGACCATATTTGAACAATATAATTTTTTTTTCACATACTTTACATAATTTACTTTATGTAATTACAGAATTACTTTAATAATCTTTGTTGATAGGAACTTCCTCTTCCATCACTTCACTTAAATTATATCAAATTATAAATTACCACATTTTGGTGTATTCATTCCCACACTGAATAAAATACCAGTATGTCCATACATGAGGTTAAAATATTTTGTTAAATTTTGCAATTTGTTCAAAAGGCAATCCTCAAACAAGTTGGAGAACGATTAAAAATCCAAGATACTTCTACAAATATCTTATTAAACACATCCTGTTTTATTTGTATGCCAAGATTATGCCAACTCTCTTATCTGTGATATCTGTCAAGACACAGACGACAAGCCTGTTTTTTGTTTTTTAAAGTGTCCTTAGGCCTAAAGGATACAGGAGTAAAAAAAAAAAAAGCCAACCCTGAAAACAAAATGCTTAAAGGCCCTTGTTCTTCTGCACTGCATGATTTTCTATACATATTGAAGAGTTACTTTATCTAATAAATTTCTCTTTTGGATTTTATATATCTTTTGATTCTAATTTAAATTAATATTGCTTCTAGCCTAAGCTCGTACTTCATTAAGTTAAATTAACTGTCCTACATGCAGATTCTGGGGAACTGGTAAATAAAAATATAATTTTAGAAGTACTGCACTTTTCATATATTCTTACACAGGGACTGATTTGTTCACTTATTTAAAAGAAAAAGAATAATTTAAAACCTGTTGGATAGGCTGCTCTAGTAACAAAATGCATATTAAAAAAATGACCCTCATGTGCATCTTATATATCTGTGTATTCAGAAGATATCCAGTCTTGTGTGGAAATTACAATTTATGAAGGAATAACTGGAGGTTTGAATATCTAGAGAAAAAAAGATAGAACCTACACAAAAAGGGCACTTAAAAAGATGCAGATTACACCTGTTCAAGCTGTTTGCCAAGTATGTTGCAGGTTACTGTAATAATCTTACTGGTTTTTGTATTATTATAAAACACAGTTTTAGATAATCAACAATTAATGTGTAGCGGAATTTTTATATAGTTATTTTTTCTGGAAGGTTATTTTTGTTTTGGTTTCATTTGTTTTTTTTTTAAACTTCTCTATGAATCCCAGCATTCATTAACCTTGAATCTTTAAAGAAACTGGAAGATAAATTATTTTCATTTTTGGTATAGTTAGGTTAAACTTAGAGTTTTTAATGTTTTGTCAGGCTGCAGGTATATGTAATTATGTGTGGATTTATTTGTGAGAAACAGTGTATAAACATATGTATACAGTACATACAATTTAAGGACATTGTATGAATACATGTGATAAGAGTAATGCCATATGAAAGCATGGGATGAGTACCATGTACAACTGAACACACTAGGGCTGAAAACAAGAATAAGATAACCAAGAGGTATTTATTTAACAGTAATAGCTGGCTTGTTGCCATTAATTTAGAAACCATTTAACAGTAATAAATGACCACTATTAGAAAAACGCATCATTCCAGCTTCTGAAATATCTCTACTTAGGCTTCTAATAACTGCAAAGTTATAGCAGTATTATCTCTTACCTGGTCCTTAATTTCAAGCTCCCTTATAGTTTTTGTCCTGTACTCTCTGAGCTCCTTTTCTGCCTCATCCTTCTTCATTTTGGTTTGATTCAACTGATAGCGCATTTCTCCACACACCTGTTAGATTATGCAGACAACACGATCTGTAGCTTGAAGAATCCATAGCCCATGGTTTGCAATTAGATCTTTTGGTGCCCTCTAGAGGTCATTTAAATGTAACATATTTTAATTTAAAGATATTTTAAGACTGCATATGGTAAATGTTTTTATATAAAAAGGTGGATCTGAATTCTCTATATAGGCATTAACTTTGAAATATGCAGTGCCTTCTAGATTCAATTATATTTGGATCAAGATTTTGCTAAGTATAAATATTTATATTGTAAATATATGTGCTACTAAATACAGTTAAACTACAGTTGCTGGCTTTATATTCTTCTCCCATTCTCTCAAAAATCCCAAGAAATCTACATCAACACTTTCAAAACTTAAAAGTAAAGGATCTATCACACTCCTATATAAGGGCGTAGTTTCTTATCTTGCCAATTTTTCACTGTTAAGAAAGAAAATGTTTAGATGTTAATACAACAATTTTCAAAGTTAGATCAGAGCATCATAGACTCACTACAAACTGAAGGTAAACTCTTTAAAAATAATACCTAATTCAAATATATGCATGGGTCAGAAGAAAGGGATCAAAACAACATTTAAAGAAATCTAGCATCACTTTCACAAGGGCAACAACTCTCTGTTGCTGGGATGTTTGTTATGTTACTCGTCATTCCTGTCCACCTGAAGGCAGCTCAACTTCAGAGGATATATGGAGGGTCCAGGGGAAAGGAAAGAGAAAGAAAGAAAACCCCACACCAGTCCCTCCCACATAACTTTGATTGCTGCTGTGCAGGGATGTCATTCTCCCATTTCCCAGTCTAAGACTTTTAAAGGATTCTATTTGATCCTATCTGTTGGGAATGGAGAAGGATGGTGGACAAGCTGTCCACTTTTTGTCCTTATTCTGTGCAATCACCTCCAATTTGTGCCTGTTCATTTCACCTTAATTAACCAAACATAAACACATGAACATTCCCTAATGAGAATGCAAATGTGTTTGCTTGCTGATACTCTTAGAAAACTTTCTTCCCAACTCACTCTGCTTCCCTGCCCCATTTACATTCTTTCACCAGACTTGCTTCCTAAATGTGCATGCTTTTAATTTGCTGCTACAATCCTCTGTGCTTCTCAACAACCTTAAACACATTTTACAACCCAAATTAGTTTCTGTTTTTCAGTCTCATACCTCTTCTCATTTTCACTAATATTTTTTTTCCATTCTTGTAAAAAAGAAGAAAAGGAAAAGGAAAAGGAAAAGGAAAAGGAAAAGGAAAAGGAAAAGGAAAAGGAAAAGGAAAAGGAAAAGGAAAAGGAAAAGGAAAAGGAAAAGGAAAAGAAAGGAAAGAAAAGAAGGTGGGTAAAAGTAATCAAAATCTGGAATCAAATAACCTTAGGAAAAAATAAAACCAATTGTCATAACTTTAAGAAGCAGTATCATGTATAAATTCAAAGAATAGCTTGTGAATTCAGCCCTGTTGCAAATAATGCAAATACTCTGAAGAATGGAAAAGTTCTAAAGCATTATTTTTTTTTTTAAATAATGAAATAGCACATGCAACTAAAAAATCGTAAAATGCAACTGCATGGATTGCCAACCCTGTTCTTCTACCTCCTCCTTTCGTTATGTGAAGGAGGTAACAAAGCGGGATAGGATATAGCAAAATAAAAAAATAAAATACAGCCATCCTTGCCTTCAGCTCCCCTGTACATCATACAGAGTGAATAACGCAGAAGTATCGGCAGATGGTGCTGATAAGGGATTTTTCAGTCTCTACTAGATTGAGAAATGCACAAAATAAAGTGCCCAGAAGTGATACACAGGCATAGATAGATGTTAAGCTAAGAAGGAAGATCTCTTTGGGAAAGGCAAACCGTCAATATTTATTAATAAAGCAGTATAGCACATACAAATTCTACAGGAATATACTTGAAAAACAGTGATTTGATACAGCTTCCTTTATATTAGCACTGCATATCCCAGAGGTAGTATTCAACCCTGTCCTGTAATTGCTATGTTGTCTCATTCACAACAAATGCAATCTGGAGGAAACACTAGATTGCAGTTTTAAATAATAATTTGCATAGTCTACAAGGTAGAAAGGTTAGCTTTTGCATCACAAGGCAACTTGGCAGCCTGAAAAAGTTATCTTTTTACTCATAAAACTGTTTCTCTGGGATATTCAGATTAACTTCACACCTATCACACATTCGTTACCAATACAGAGGAAAATGCAGAAAGAAAAATATTCTCGTCTTTCAGGTCACAATGATTAAGGAAAACCAAACTCAACACTCATTTATAAATGTACCTACCTTATTCATCTCCATTTCATGAGATGAAAGCTGATGTTGTGATTCTTCTAACTGGTTGACCAGAGAGTTTTTTTCCCTTGTAATTCTCTCTACCTGAGCCTCCAACATGGCCACATTCTCAGACATGGCCATCACCTGCAAAAAGCCCAAGAATGCTGTAATGATGCAATTTGACCAACCACAGACCTAAATCTTGTGGGACTTTCTCCTTGAAAGCAACTGTATGTAGCCAAAATACATAGAATTTAAAATTAAACAAAAATAATCTAAACACATATAATAAAAATGCCTAATAAAATGATTTAAACGATAGGTTCATTATTTTGGATTTATCATATAGTAGTTTATTTAAAACTTTTCATCAACCCGACTAGTCTCCAGGACTTGTTAATATGGACAAAGTGTCAGAAGCAGTTGCTTGCATTAGTCTTGCAGCTGTAAGTGTATTTATTAACACCTTCTTATCCATCTTTATGTAGATTGATTTAGACCAAATCATGTTCCCCCAACTAAAGCAAAGTGTCATTGCAACCAGAGATCTTAAATTAAATTTCAAGTTCAGAAAACATTTCATAGATCAAAGCATGATGTTGTACAAAACCTATATAGAAATAGTATGTTAAAAATTCTAATGTAATTCAGATCAAATTTTGCTGAATGGTAAAAAACTGTAACAATAAAACAGAGACAGTGACCCTTCAGCTATTTAGCCCTGAAGCTTACTACTATAAGTGGAAATAATGGTGTCTGACAGTTCTAGGTTAACTCACAGGAATTCAAAGCCAAACCTAGAGGATTATATATTCAGAACCATTTTTCAGTCATTATACATCCACCTGACTTATGTATCATGTCAATTCTCCCCTTCAAACAAATCACTTCATAAAGTAAGTGATAAAATATTCATATGGAGGTTGACTTGATGCACAGTATACAATTTCTATCATCTCATAATCCTGAAACATAAAAGTCGTTAATCATATCTAGCCATAAATCTTGCATATAGGTCACAGTTTTCATAGAATGGTTTGGGTTGGGAATTACCTTAAGGATCATCTAGTTCCAACGCCCCGGCCACAGGCAGGGACACCTCCCACTAGAGCAGGTTACTCAAAGCCCCATCCAGCCCGGCCTTGAACACTTCAAGGGATGGGGCATTCTCAACTTCTCTGGGAAACCTGTTTCAGTGCCTCACCACCCTCACAGTAAAGAACTTCTTCCTAACATCTAACCTAAATCTACCCTCTTTCAGCTTAAAACCGTTATCCCCATCCTATTGCTACTCTCCCTCATAAAGAGTCCTTCCCCATTTCTCCTGAAGGCCCCCTTCAGGTACTGGAAGACTGCTGTAAGGTCTCCCCAGAGCCTTCTCTTCTTTAGGCTTAACCCCCACAACTCTCTCAGCCTGTCTCCAGCCCTCTAATCATCTTCATGGCCCTCCTCTGGACCTGTTCCAACAGGTCCATGTCCTTCTTGTGTTGAAATGTTTTCTATAAAGTCATCCCATACCTTTAATTACCAAGCGTGACATCGTAGTGTTGCTATATGTTGGTTAATGTGTATGTAGGATTTAAAAAAGGAATACAACTACTCAAAGAGGTAATCAGCTCCAGTAAAACACCTCTCAGTGGGTGATGAAATACAAAGTAATTTGGTGACATGAAGGACTGAATTACTCTACCAAAAAAGGTATGAAATGCTTGTCTAATAGGCTGTATTTTGGAGTGTATATTCTGCTCTAAAGCAAATCTGTAACTAAACAACTAAACACTTAAGAGGGATAACTTCCAATAGATAGCAAGTACTCAAACAAGAAATTGCTTAGTAATGTCTCATTGGGTTCAGTGTAAGGCTATTTTTTGTTAATTTCAATTTCCCTGGCAATAGATTTCTGATGATCACTTATAGCAGTTCACGTAGCACCTATCACTGTGCTTAATTTCTGTTTTAATATCTGGAACTGGAGTCAAAGGCTTTGACTTCCTGTAGCAGCTTCAGAACATTATTCCACCACCTCATAATACCAGAAATGCAACCATATCACCTTGGTTCCCTATTTACATTAGTAGCTTTCTAGCCATTTCACAAGCAGCAATACTACTAAAGAACCTCCTCTTTTAAACACCTAGTTTATCCTGTTGAGTCTGTGCTCTCCAGATTGTATAAACTGTATGGCTTATTTCTAAAAAGAGCCCGAAAATCTGGAAAAAGCCTACAACGAGATGAGAAATTTGCTATTTTGTTTCGAAACCTCCACCAGGAAACGGCTGAAGAGGTTAAATATCAAACAAGCATGAAAACAGCTAGTTCATGGAACTTTTATCTCTTTACTCTTCTTCCCTTTTCTTTCTCCAGTCACCTTAAAAGTGCCTCCTCTGTCACGACTCACAGGCTTATTGCTGTTAACATGAGGTTTGCTCCATAGATTCCATTGGGCAGAAAGCCTTTATGTTTTATACTCAGATTACACTAGCATGTGGAAGTCTGAAACAAGGTTATTGAGGCTCTGTTGCAATGGTCACAGTATAAATGATGAGACAGATTCTGTCTTAGAGAGTTTATAAACATCAGTAAAAGTGAGAAAAGAGTTTCCAATACATTTCTGCAGGTGAGCAAATTAAGCATATGACAAGATCACTCTGAAAAATAGCATATTAGAATGCAATTATGATTTTGTAACATTAAATATATATGTAAACTGAAAGTAGCAAAGAATCCTAAATTTCAAATGTGCAAAGTTCCGAATGCTTGACTTGGCTATCTAAATAATAGAAGGTAGGTACAAACCTTGCAGCACCTACTAGTCAAGCCTTTCCTGCTTTGACAAAGTGCATTAGAAAATATTATGCAAACCAAAACAAAATGCATAACATCAAGAACTTAGTATGTATCTAGTGACACAGCATATAATCCAGATATTCGGACTTGAAAGATCGCTTATCGACCACTGCTTTAAAGCAATGGTGGAAGTGATTTACTGAGCTCTCATATCCAAAACTGGAACAAAATTAAACACAAACAAAGTTTAAAGAGGATGATACAGTCATTGTAATACGCAAATAGAAAAAAAGCCTAACTCATACCATTGCTGCCAAGCCCTCCCTTTCTTTCTTCATTTCTTCCCGCAGTGCTTCTTTTTCATCAGTCCTCTTATTTAGCTGGGCAGCTAACTCCCTTTCAAGACGATTCTTCTGCCGTTCCATCTCACTTTTCAGCTGCTCACACTGGACTAGAGCCTAGAAAAAACTATTTTTTTAAGTGGAAGAAACCTAAAATTTTAAAGAAACATGGTATTTATCTAACCCTTTCAGAGAAACCAATTTGCTATAAGAAAGGATGTCTGGTTTGGTTTTTTTAAGAGTTATTATGATGTTTACACATAACCTACTGTGTTAACCTCTAGAATAGGACTAACAAATTGAAGACTATGTATATGTTTGTATGTATATACATGCCCTACTGTAATTTAGAAATCTAATTGCTTTTAGGAGTCATGGCAAAGATGGAAGCATTTTTCAAAGTATATTTTCCAAATAAGTAGCTGTTCTTCTAAAGCTAAGATTATTATTTGCTTTGCCTTTAAAATTCCTGAACGTACACCACTAGAATCAGCATCCATTACTTGACTCCTTGTAAACATTGTGGTTATTGCCTAACTGCATAGCTAAAGAAAAAATAAAACAAATAATACACACACTTTCTACATGTTCTCCACCTGGAGTGAATTACTGAGTGCAGAAGGCTAAGAAGAAACCAGGAAGAAGTAAAGATACAAAGAAACAATTTTCCTTTTTAGTTTCAGGTTTGTCAAATGAAGATTAACTCTACTGAAAGCTCAAAATCATAAGTGTCCTGCTTTAATTTGTTGTGCTAAAACACAGCTGATAGATGTGTTTTCTATTGAAACAGAAGAAAAGTAAGTTGATATGCAAGCAGCACAGTAGAAAATATCTTCTAAAAAAAAAATAGGAAAAAAAATCAATTATGCTATGTATCCCTGCCAAAGGGATATGAGCTGGGTGTTATGTCAGTTTAAATCAGAAATACACTACTGCATTAAAAGTAAATTGAAGTATTCAAAGAAGCCTAAAGGTAGCTTCCTAGCTGCAGTGAAGAGGATGGCCAGCAGAGACCCTACAGAGCTGCTGTCTTTATGTGGCAGAAATAGTATAGGTATGAAGACCTATTTTATTAAAAGTTCTACTATTTATCTTAGTAATTTTTATTCATAGGCCACATTTCTAACAGTAAGGCTTTATAGGTACTTTCTCTTTAAATATTAAAATAAATATTTCCAACACCAAATGAAAAAAGAGGAAGATAGATAACCACTTCATTGCATAGAGGAGAAAAAATACTTTGTGCAGTTTTAAATAGCAGCAAATATTTCTATCAGACAACTGTAGAACCCAACCCCAAAAATGTAAACAAGTAAACAATTAAAAAATTTAACCCATCAGGGACAGGATGTAACAGGTCAACAGAAGGCTCATAAGGTTTCTTTCTCCGTCTGTTCAGTAAAAAATAAGGAGCTGTAATGTGCTCTAGGCAATCCTGCTTTGGCAGGGGAGTTGGACTAGATGATCTCTAGAAGGTCCCTTCCAACTCCAACAATTCTGTGATTCCGTAATACTCTGAAGTTTAATTTATCAAGTACCTAGGGTTTCCAACTCTCATTATTTCTTTCCCCACCGTTTATAGTTAAAGACCCTACAGAAACACACACAGTTTTACAGCATTGGATGAATTATACCAACCATTACTGCTTATTTGATCAACAGAACAATTATATCAATCTTGTCCACGGTTAAAACAATAGCATTCCATTTAAAAACAAAAACAAAAACAAACCAACCCCAACCCCCCTCTCTCAATTCCATAGTAATTCACTAATAATACAGTAGATGTCACTAAATATCAAGGAGATAATCCAGGTCAGTATCATTTGATTGTATATAGTAACTAGGGCTAAAGCAAACTTTAGATCAAAACCAGTTTCATCATTATTATTTACATAGCACCAAAAGCTTTGTGTAGGTAGCATTGACAGGACTTCTCATCTTCAAAGAGTTCTGTTAGCTAGTCAGTTCTTGCATTGCATTCATCTGAGGCAAAAAAAACTTGTTTGTAAGCATTTTAAGTGCTCTTTCCAGACTAGCTCAGAAATGTGATATGAGAATTATTCTCCTACATGTCATGAAACCCTTTGAAAATGCCACCATTCATTTTCTACCACTGAGCTGTGAAACTATGTCAGAATTAAAATGATGGCCTAAGAACACAACATCCTAGAGCCTTGATGAGAATTTAAGAACTCAAATATAGAATTCGTGTTACTGCTCAGAAACAGTCACATAGTGCAATCCTTTTAGATCTACAGCTACAAAGACTATAAAGGTCATACGTGTGTATTCTCTTATTAGCATGAAAACTAATTAACATTTGCAGTGGATTTGAATACTGAAAAGCTCTCGATTCTTGTGGAATTTACCTTTGTTTTTTCTAAATTGGCCTCTTCTGCCATTTGCACGGCTTGTTTAACTTGCTCACATGCATTAGATTCTCTTTGCTGCATCCCTTTCATGTTTCGTCTCAGTGAAACAAGTGCATCCATCAAGTCATCTCTTTCTCTGCATATAAAGAAAAAACAGATATTTCTTCTACATCTTTTCTCAAGAGAAAAAAACCCAACAGGTATTATGAAATATAAAATACTAGCAGATAAAAAACGTAAGTGTGGAAAGGAAAGCAGGACTAAAACCACTCTTAACCAGGGTTAAGAGTGAAAGGCAGCATACTGCTAGCTTGGCAGATATTAAAAATATCATTTGCTTGCTGACCAGTCCTTCACTTCAGAAGGATGGACTGTTAGTGAAACTGCCAGTAATGACAGCAAAGCTGAAGTCATAAATATACTGAAGCTGAGCAACATTCTGTTGGCATTACAAAACAGGGATCCATGCTTAAAAAAAAGACAAACAAAAAAACAACTGCAAACTGGAACTAAACTAAACAATAAGACTTCTGGATTCTACATCCTTTCTGAACTTTTGCTAACTGAGAAACTGAAATCAATACCAAACAGTGAAGCACAGTCAGTAAAACTGCAGTACTTAACTTCACCTTTTGATTATTTTGATACATTGAAAGCTTTTAAATTAAGAGTATAAGTGTCTGTGTTTTAGATGCAACTAGAGATTCTAGCTGAAAATTGTCACGTTTGGAATTGTGGGGCTTTTTTCCTTCATGTTGTGTGGAATGGTAACACAGCTGTATTTGCCAGACAGCTAACAGTCATATTTTGAAATTCCATTGCAACAAGATTTGGATAAAGTCCCTTTGAAAATCCCTGCTGAAATGTCTTAGTTTTCAATAAGTTGCATCACAGGGAGATGTAGCTTTCAGATTTTGTTAAATCTCAAATTGAAATAATGGTTTAAGAAAGATAAATAGGTCAGCTCAAATCTTTTATTTCAAACTGCACTATAATACAAGATGACAAGAATGTACTGACTTATAGTTTGTTCATATTTTCCAGTGTCTCTGACAAATAATTATTTTTGTTATGAAAGTAGATTTTGAAACATGACTTTTCAGCAACAGAGAGCCTTCCCAGAAAATTCTTGGACTTTACAATAGAAAAATACATAAATTCTAGCAACAGCCACCTAACACGTAGAGATAATATCCATTTGATGGACTATATGTGCTATGTCCCTTCAGTCTTCTTGCTTCTAATTGACCCACTACCTCACCTCCAGCTGGCTCATTCTAAAACTTCACAAATCCTGAGAAGCTTCAGACATCTGAGAATAAATAGATTAGTTTAACAAACTTTGAGAAGGTTGCAGTATCCCATCATTATTAGTAGCAAGTAGAAAGGGAGAAATTTTTTAAGATGATTAACTAGCAGTATTTCTTAAGAAAAAAAGCATTTTAATGCTGTTGGAATTTCTGAATTATATATATTACATTCAGCCTGTATAGCTGTTTTTTAAAAATAATTTTTAAAAAAGGTTGCAGCAAATCATTTCATTGTTGTTCAAAAGAATTTTCTTCCGTGAACTACTGTAGTTAGGGAGGAGCAATGCATCCTATCTCAAACACCTGACCTACTAAGCAAATTCAAGGGGAAAATAGAAAGGATTACACTGCTGATGTATCCTAAACATTCCCCAAATGTAAGGAGAATAAAGTGGAGCCAGAAAAACTTCCAACTACAGAAAGATAAGGAATTTTTTGCAGGAAATAATCAATGAAAATGTATGGACTTCCAAAATACTTGTTTTGACAGAGTAAAGGGTTTGTACAAAAAGCATGCAAAAAAACCTATCAACAGTCTGATTATCTGGACAGTCCAAGGTACCACAATTACAAGATAATGACTCACATTCTTTCCCAGTTGAAATAAGCAGCAAAACTACAATAGATTTCAAAGTGGTTGGGACCTACACTCATATTCTGCCATTGACTTTAGCATCAACTTAGGACTGCATGGTTCCACAGCCACACATCCGTCTCTGAATGCAACACAACACATTGAGACTTACACCGTTTAAAGTAAACAACTGTACTTTCAATGAGAAAGTAAACAATCCCCAAACCTACTTTGTCAACCTCTCAATGGTCTGCATGTGAACATTAGAATGAGTCTGTGCAAGAACTGCCTCGTGTTGCGCACATTTCAGACACAGACCACCAACACGGCTAGAATTCGTGGCTGAAACAAGTGACTTCTGGTGTTTTAGCCTTCCTTCCAAATCTTTGCACATCTTCTGAGATTCTGCAAGGTCTTTTCTAGAAAGAAGAAATAAAAAATGTTATTTGAGCAATCAAATATTTCTACAGGTTATATTTGTATGTAATATATAATTACAGAGGCAAACCAAAAGAGCTATAAGAATTCCTCTAATGAACATTATTTTACACATTTCGGCAGCCTAAAGAGGACTTTAACTGAGAAATAATAGTTGAATTGCCCAACCGAAATTATTAATAGACAAAACAAAATTATATTCATTTGTCTATTCCCTCTGTAGTATTAGAAAATAGCAAAATTACACAGAAAATTATTAGACAAAACTTGTAGGCTTACATATTATCTGAACAGAGGAAAGGATTCATTAGGAAGAAACACTACCAGTTGTATAAATATTTAAATATCCTAACTTTTATTCTGTTGTTCTTACTAATAGCATCACTAACTTCACACTTCTCCACTCTCAAATTAATCGTAAATTTACAATATAAAGTCAAAGTCTCCTATGCTCTCTAGACAAAATCCAGATGTATTCAGCTCATTCTCTCTGATCCAATGATGCACACAAACTTGGGGTCAGCCACATCTCCAGAAGAACATGCTAAGTTTCTTACTTTCTGCAAAATTTTTACCAGGTGCTCTGAAGAATTTTCTCCAGAATTTCCAAGCATCTGTCAGGCCGGAGAGAGCGCAAGCAGCAGGAATGCTGACATCAGGAAGTTCCAGACAAACGCACACTGTGCACATATAGATCGATTTGACAAATTGTGCAATGAATCCAAAGCTTTTGGTTTGTTATGCAGGCCATCTGGGCAGCACACACATAGTAAGTCTGACACATTCTGGTTGCATTGGATTTACTGTGCACATGATATATACACTGCATGCATGCTTATTTCCATCTGGGAAATCTTCTGTGCACTTTTTCTGATTTTAGTAGTTGGTCTATTAAATATAATCCACTATAACCTGAACAGAATTTGCTCTGGATATATCCTTATACAGTCATGGTACAACAGACCTATTGTTGGGAAATCTTGAACAGAAATCAGCAAGTCCCACATAAATTCATGCTTAATGTTAAAAACAAGGATAGTCTCACTGAAAGCAATATAATTTTTCCCTTTAATTAAAATTTAGGAAATGCTCAAGTGCTTTACCGAGCTTACAGTTTGAAAGATCATGCCCCTTAGAAGAAATCAAGAGGCTGAATAATGTATTTATGGAAATTTTCAGACTATTTTAGCCTCCAATATTTATTTCTGAGTACATATAACACTTCAAGCCAAGTGTGGGGGGGGAATTTACAAATCAGATTACACTGCTGAAATTTAAGATCCTCCTTTACTTTCACCAGCACGATTGGCTTTGCAGGTTTAAGACTTCACTACTGCAAAGGGTATATTTAAACTTGTCTCCCTACCAGTAACTGTTTTTACATGCACACACACACACACGAGTGTAGGATTTTCAGATATATGAGAGCACAACTTATTTAGGGAAAAATCACAATTGAAACAGATTGAGCAGTAGTACCATGAATGCAGGTGCATAGGGGGAAGTTTACTCCAGAACATCAAATTCTGAAGTGGTTACCTCTACCTCTGTTTTTCCATAGTTTGCTATCTATTCAGACCTTTAATATTTTGAGGAGTACATGAGCATTTATTCTCAAATATTTTTGTGTTTAAAGATATGCAGGTAACATGACTGGAAACACTGCCTGCATGCTTCAAAAGTATGTTTTCCTGCTCCAAAATAATTTTGTGGCCTAAACTAGTTTGATGCTTAAGCTTTCAAAACTTGTGATATAAAATAATAGTTAGAAAAAGAGGTAATTACGGAAGAGCTCACAAAAATTAAAATTTTAACTTCTCTTTTTCTGTTTTATCAGTGTACCTTAGCAGACATGATTTTTTTATAAAGAAAAAGGGTAAAAAGTATAAAGACATTTTATATCAAGAATTAATTTCTAGAAATACAACAATTCAATTAAATTTGTAAAATTTACATATTTCTAATGTTGCTATTACATTCAACTTTGCTACATTTGTATTTGAGCAAACATAATGTAAAAGCAGCTTTCAGGGACAGTATCAGAAAACATGACATTCAGACATCGAGGCATTCTCTTACTTAAATTCAAATTAAAAGTGGCTCATATTCTTATGAAGTGATAATATATTAACAGTAATTTTAAGGAAAAAAAATTACACATTTCATTTTACCTTAGAGACTGTACTTGAGCATCAAGGATGCTGACTTTTTCTTGATAAAGAAGTTTTAGTTTCTCCTTTAGAAAAAATGGAAGAAAATAATTGTCTTTTGCTTTCTTCGTAACACAGTCTTAACAAATAAATCTAGACATTAGCCACATTCATTCTTTTCCCCTGTGGATATAAACTTGTTGAAACACTAGTGTGAGAGAAATCTAAATATTTCACACTGGTGAAAGTCTACAAAATTAACAACCCATCCATTTTCTTATTTCTATACATCTTGCCAGATCCTCATATGGTAAATTGCCCCAGCTCCAATTGCAGCCCTCTACAGTGATTTCCACAAACTGATGGTCTTGTCTCAAATTTGCTCTTAGTCTCCCACAAGTCAGCAGAAATAAAAGAGGAATTCTGAAGAACTTCAAGTGGATAGGCTACTTATTTATAATACAGTGAGTTACTTTTATTACCTGGTGAAGAACAATCAACTACACCAATGTTAAACACAATGGTGATAAGAAACCAGATAAAAAAACAGATAAAACACCAGAAATTTAGCTCACTTTGGTGCTCAGAAATAAGTCACAATCAATATGATTCTTTTGCTTTAAATATGACAGATGAAAAAGTGCAATTACTGTAAAAACTAGCTTTCAAACAACTGCAGGCATGACAGATCACTGAAGAGGTTTTCAGCTCTAGATGAGGCACAAAACCAACAAAAATATAGTTTACTAGAAAAAATTAATAAATACATATAATTACCTTGAAGAACTAAAGTACCTTTTAAATTCCACAGCACACATATGCACATGGACAAAAAACATCAAAATTTTCAGTTAACCATGTTTTTCCCAAAACATGGCAATGCTACCCCATTAATTCAGAGCAAAAATTTAAGAATATCTTATGAAACTAAAAATACAGGATAGAGAAAACATCGTCTCTGAATACTAGGGCTCCTCCGTGTCTCTGAAAGCACAAAATATATAATTCCACTTAGGAAAAACAGACAGCACAAGGCTACTTTTGAACCTTACTGATGCTGCACTGCTCCAGGAGTAGAAAGAGCTTGCCTGGAGGGCTGCCAGCGTTACACCAGCGCGTTCCCACCTGGTTGCGCATTGCGTTACTGCTAAGAATCTCCGGAGTGCAGTGGAGCCACCACTGACGGGACACTCTTAAAACAAGACTTATCTCTGGGAAGACAACACCTGCAGACGCAACCTGCCATCTGTGTCTAACTGTATAATAATATTACTTAGAGTATAATGAGAATATGTGCTTTAAGAGAATAAAATTTGACCTCAGATTAAGGTTCAGTCAACCAAATCTCCTCCTGTATGTCTGTTACAAAATTAATCATCAGAACTGCAGCACAACAAAGCCCAAAAGGTTTTCAAAAGTATGACTCTGCAAAGAAAGTTAATACCAACCAGTTCCACATGCCATTTTTCTATTTCTCCAACAGCTGCTTTAAAAAAAACCTGATCTTTGTTACGTGTTGGTGATGAGGTGACAGGCTGACGCATGCTACAGTCATTACCACCTACAGGCCAGGAGTTCTGTGTATTTGCCTACAATAAAAATATTAAAACTTCAGTTATGATTATGCAGACCATTTTTTTAAACAAAAGTTAATTATATAAGTATTGAATCGTATATTTTTTTATTACAGTAGAATATAAGAACCAATAAACAAGTTAATTATGTTGGCAATCTACAATAATGATGCTATCTACAGAAATCCATGTTTACAAACTCTCATTAAAATTCAATTTGTGAATAACCATTTATATAGCCTTCCTTAAAAAGAACCAGGTCCCTGAACACTGATTAAAACAGAATCAGAAAAACAAAAACTTACCGAAGCATCTAGCAGAGTTTGTTCTCTCAACGTATGTTCTGCAGTTAAGAATTTCAGTTTCTGATGGAGTTCCTCATTTTCAAGTACAACTACTTGTACTCGATCTTTCATCCCAGACAGTTCCTCCTATAGGATACAGGAACTGTATGTCAAAGGCTCCTTGGGATGGTATCAACATTTAAATACATCTTGAGATCAAAAGTCTAGATAAACATTCTCAATTTTTTTAACCCTTTTAGAATAAGAATACTCAAAAGACAGACTTTTCATTTTTATAGCTTGGATTTCCATGGAACTTCTTAAAAAATTTTTTTTATTTTGTATTTGTGATAGGTTGTAAAAATGTCTTTGAAGACCCTTAAACACTACACAGGCACCAAGACACATAGTAAGGCTTAGTATCTACCGAATTGCATGGCTCACTTTTGGTCATTATGACAATGAATCTCAAGACTAGGTGTAAGCTGTTTTTAAAGCAATTCTTCATGTTTAGGAGACCAAAGTTGTTGTAGGTGAAATATGTTGTCTAATACCTTGCAAAACTTCACTTCAGCTTCTAAATGGTTAATGTACTGTGACTGGTCATTGATTATAGGAATGAGATCAGAAAGAGCTGGTAAGTCTCCAGTTGCAGCTTCTGGGGATTTCTGAAGGAAGTAAAGAATAGCATGTGTTATTTTCCAGTTTTCCATTTATTGCAATAAGATGTTGCTTGCACGCAGAATACTATGTACACTTAGTAAAAAGTCACCACATACTAGATCATGAAGAAGGGAAAAACCAATAAGAATTTAAATTCTTCAATACAAAAAGTAAATATGTCACTTCTGTCAAAAAGTACAGCTGCTTGACTAAGCACATCTTTAAAGCAGGATTAAATGATATCCACAAACCAATTTGTAAATGAAATTCATACCGCTATTTAAGTGCATCATCCATTTTAGATAAATGTAAGGGGATATTTTCTTATATAAATATATAAATATATAAAAATCCCCTGAATTTTAATGAGCTGTGGATGTACATCAAAGGCAACTCTTCTAAATATTCATTAACAATTGCTACAGAAACACAACTATGTCTGCAATTTTAATACCTCCATAGAAGCACAGAAAATGTGTAATAAATATTGTGTTTATCAAAGAACTCCATTATTGGTATTTTAAAAGACAATTCTAAAAAACCTTTCCAAACACCCTATAAATAGGTAAAATTTTTAATAGCCTCACAAGTAGCGAAGTCAAAGAAGGTAATAAGGGAATCCTTGCCCATTCGAGATAAACAATTACATCTCCGCCTTGCTCAGCAAGATTTAAACAGGGATTAAACTTTTTACAAAATATGAAAAACACAATCGCTGTAACTTTACAGCATTTATTCCTAAGAATACAGTACAAAGAATGTAAGTAAATATAATTAAAATGCCCTTAAAATCATAAATTAAATAGCTTCCTGAAAACTACAGCCGCTTTGATCCTATTAGCAACAAACAGTCCTTGTCAATCTAATAAAAATTACTTATTTAGAGTGGATATAACAAATATAATCAGCTATTATAAGATCCTCACTTGTCCTTTTCATGTATTTCAATATTGTTTTACAACCTTAGTTTGATATTCTACTATTGCAAATTTCATCCGCTGAAAAAACTAAGTACAGTCCAATGCTAGTTAACCCATATGAACTATTTTAATTCCTGAAGCTAAGAGCAAGTATATCAGCACAAGCCTTAGCTAGTTGTGAAACAGATACAATTCTAAATTCTCTTTCTATGACCATGTGACCCGCTTTCTCGATGAGGGGAAGGCTGTGGACGTTTTCTACCTGGACTTCGGTAAGGCCTTTGACACCGTCCCCCACAGTGTTCTCCTGGAGAAACTGGTGAATCATGGCATAGACAAGTGCACCCTCCGCTGGATAAAAAACTGGCTGGATAGTTGTGCCCAGCGAGTTGTGATTAATAGGGCAAAATCCAGTTGGTGGCCGGTCACCAGTGGTGTCCCTCAGGGCTCAGTTTTGGGGCCAGCCTTGTTTAATACCTTTATTGATGATCTAGATAAGGGGATTGAGTGCACCCTCAGTAAATTCACAGATGAGGCCAAACTAGGTGGGAGTGTTGATCTGCTTGAGGGTCGGAAGGCTCTACAGAGGGATCTGGGCAGAATCGATCAAACTGGTTCACCATCCCTGGAGGTATTTAAGAAACGTGTCGACATAGCTCTTCGGGGCATGCTCTAGTGCCCAGGATTATTGGTTTGTGGGTGGGTGTGATGTGGTGGGCTGTTGTGTTTTTTGGTTTGCTGTTTTTGTTTTGGTGCTGGGGGGTTTGTTTGTTTGTTTTGTTTTTGTTTGTTTGGGTTTTTTGTTTGTTTTTTTATTTTTTGAGGTTGGACTTGATGATCTCAGAGTTTGCTGTTTTTGTTTTGGTGCTGGGGGTTTTGTTTGTTTGTTTTGTTTTTGTTTGTTTGGGTTTTTTGTTTGTTTTTTTATTTTTTGAGGTTGGACTTGATGATCTCAGAGGTCCCTTCCAACCATGGTGATTCTGTGATTCTGTAAAATCTGTGATCTCAGGTCAGATACACACCTTTTTGTGCAAAAATATTCCATGAGATGCTTCTCAAATATACTTAAGGTCTTAAAGATCATAGAACTCATCTTCAGGAACTAACTGAACAGCTGGACTCCTGAATCTCCTAAAAGATTCAGAAACCTACATCTTTGTTTTTAAATATTATTTTTGAAACATTTACCATTAAAAAAAAAAATCCAAACCAAACTACTAATGGCTAGCTATTACATGTACTAGTTATCTTATCTACAGGTTCTGCCAACAATTGATTTTTTTTTTCCTCAACAAGGTATTCAGATTCCCTGTCCAACCTTTAAAGATAAAATCCACTAATCAGGGTGAGGGGAAGGCTTCTAGCAACAAAAGCCTTCCTGCCAAATTACACCTAATATAAGTATTGGCTGTACTAACGGGGCGATTCTTGAGAAATCTGGAACTGGGATTGCAGAGACAAATGGAGGGTTTTCCAGAACCGTCTAGAAAAACATTGAGAGAAGGGACTCTGAATTTGCAATGTATTCCACCTGGCTCAGCGTACCTGAGTTCCATGTTCCATTGACTTAGAATTCACCTTGCTTTAAAGCCTGTTAACCTCAACTACTCTATAAAGTTTTTAAAAATGAATCACACTTGTTAAAGTACATATAATATAGCACTGATAATATTTGTAACTCATCATTCTGTTCCTCTGGCTCCTATTCATCCCTCCCTCTTTTCTGAAAGCGTAACAGACACCACCTTGCAGCTGAGACCTCCAGCTGCTTCCCTGAAAAGATAACGCTACAGCAGTGTTCAAAAATGTTAAAAACTCCATTTCTATTCAAATTATTCTTCACTGAAAATCAGTGATAATGTTTAACCTGAGAAACTTCAGTGTAATGTATACAAGAGTGATAAACAATGGTTTCACTAAACGGAAAATAATACGTAGTATATTTTCCCAACAGAAAAAGAACAGAGGACTTCTTAACACAACTTACTAGCTCACAGCACTCTCACTGGAATATATCTCTATTTAGAAGCCTCTACCTGCCCTTTCATGGGGCATATACCCGGTAGATCATTTGCGATTTATTTCTTTTTACCTTTTTTACTACACAGAACAGAAAGAGCAAAAATAACAGAGGTCAGGGGAGGCATACATTTAGAGTTGGCCAAATATTAAAATCAGAACTGAAAGACATATATGATCAGTATGAATTACCAAATGTTTATACCCGAGTCTCAAAAATGCTTTTCACATTTGCATTCTTAATATTGAAAAATTTACCATATAATCCCAAGGGTCTATAAAATACAAACACTTGGCAGCTTTATGAGCCAGCATTCTACACCATGACAAACAGTTTTGCCAACATCCAAAATAATTTGGCCCACCTTGTACTTTTCCACAATGCCTCAAATTTCAAACCTCTAAACCCCAGAATTAGACACTCTCCTGCTGGCAGTCTTAAATCTGCTGCCCTGCAAACTGGCAAGAAACAACAGGAGTAAATCACAGGAACTCCAGATATAACAACCGTGTCAGGAACCCAGGCGGGGTACAGTTAGGTCAGCCAAGACTCAGTTGTATGAAACAACCTTGCTGGGCCTTGACCTCAGGTGACAAGGTACAGAGCAAAAGGAAAGTCTCTACTCAACCATCTGGGTGTAATCAACGAAGAGACACACTCATTTGCTGTCTATCACAACTTTTATTAATGGGCAAGAGAAGGGAATTTTGTTAAGACAATGTAATTTAATACATACTAAATGTTGAAAAGTTTATTAAACAATATACTTTATGTGAAATATTATATTTAGCTATAGACATATGCAGTCATCTACTATTCAGTAGTAATCAGGTATTTCAGCGTAATTCAAAGTCAAAGGTTAAGGTTACTCATAATCTAACTTTGCTTTCCTTGGCCTTTCGGGAATCTGATTCTTCTTATACAAGAAGCATCTCTGCAGTGTCCAGCAAACTACCAAACTTGTATTTTATAAGGCTTTGGGGTTTTTTTGGTGTGTGTGTGCTTTTGTATTTCCATATTTTTTAAGCTTTATATTTGGTCTGTCTTCAGAATACTTTTGAATCCTCTGCAGAAAGCAGATGGAGGACAGTTGATAAGGCCAGCGCTTCACAGAATCCCTCACACTGGAAGCTTCAAGATGAAGAAATGGAACAATGCCTATCAATACAGTAAATTCCCATCTTTTCTCTGTTTACTCCTCCATCCTTTAATGAACTCCCTGAAAGCGCTATCACATGTTTCTTAGAAATAAGTATCCTTTTTTCTGAATTTTTCCACTCTACTAAGATTTCCCAATATAAGTAGAAAACTTTAACAAAGATGGATTCAAAGATGATTTCCCTCCCATCCAAAGGCTAAATACAAATCGATACTGATTCACGTCATGTCAAGATCAATTAATGATACATCGTTCCCTTGAGCTACAAAACACTAATTCTATCCTGCATCATTATAAGGCAAAAGTACCTGGCAGGATAATCAGACTACACTCGTGGATTTTAGAACATTCAGAAAAGTTGAAGTTTAAATACAATTTCTCAGTGTTAGAACAGTAGAGCTAGGCTCATTACACAGGCTCAAAGCAACCAGGAATATAGGCTTTAAATTGTTCTGCTGCTGCCTCAACTTTGACAGCAAAGAGTTACTTGTCTTGCTTAATACAAACCAAAGTAGTCAGTGGAGGCCATCAAAATATAAAACTGGAACAATGCCTTTTAATTATTAATTATTTTAATTACCCTATGGGGATACAGAGCAACTGCTAGATGCTAGTAACTGAACTGTCCATTGCTTTGGAGCATGTTCTGCTGCAAGAAGGCTAAATTTGAGAACAACATTTAAGGGTGTAAACTAACTTTGACAGAGACCACTGCATTTTGGCAGAGAGCTACAAAACCTGTTGTTACATGAACATCTCTAACCCTCCAAAGAAAAAGCATGGTTACAGCATAAGAAGGCCTTTGAGAATCCTTAAAGTACAGTCAAAGAAAAACCTTTTACAGAAATGTCTCCACTTAGTCAAACCCAACTGTTTCCAAAAGAAAAAGGACTGGACTGTGACCCATACTGCACGGTCAACAAAAGAGAAGAGAAGTCTAAATCTTGTATTAAGAGATTAGTTTTTCTTCCACTATGGTCATAACTATACCAAGTTGTGTCCATAGCCTCAAGAATCTCCTATGTTTCACAATACAGAATGATTCAGTGTTTCTTTTTCTTCCTAGATGCTAGAAAATTGATCTCATCACACATGCCCTTCATTCAAACAACATAAAAGAAACAAGAAGAAACATATACAGACCGACATCTTCCTCCTTGACGGAGAGACTTCACTTTCAATTTTTTCTTGATGTTGCAACAAAATTTTAAGTTGATTAACTAGGAAGAGATAAAAAACATTATAGCAAAAAAATTACTTTAAAAATTGAAATTAGTTTAATTTCCAACAATTTTTAAACTATTTTCTGTCTCAATAGTCTTACCTGCGTGACTATGCTGCAGTTCCTGGCAGGCTGCATTCCCACTGTCATCATTGCCCCTGTCCACATCACCACTGCCCTTGCCCACAGAGCACTGGTTAAATCTAGTTTCACCCTCACCCTCTGCAAACTGTCTTTCCTCTAGGGCATATTTCAGTTGATGGATGCTTTCACTAGCACGTTCTGAGAGAAAGAAAAAAAAAAAAATCATCACATCATTAGCCACAGTAAATAACATAAAAAAAAGGATTTATTGAGTGATATTTTAATTTGCAAAAAAATGGGAGAACTAAAAGCATTTGGCATCTGTCTAGCTTGACTACTTGATCTAAACTCATCCACTGGAAGCAATTACTGAATGCAAACAGCTAAAACAACTATAGTATACCAGAATTTGCAGAAGAAATATATACTATATTTTCAAAGAAGAAGATACAAATTGCATATTAGCCTGTCAATACTTTAGGACTCTGCAGCAGCACAAGTACCTACTATTAGAAATGCCCAGCAGAGACAAAGTTTCAACTACTGATCATATACTTGACCCTAAAATACTTCCTAGCATACACAGCTTCGATACTTTTCAATGAACCTACAGCTCATGCTATATTTCATGCAATGTGCAAGACTGGGCACCAAGAACAGCTTTTTTGAATTCTAACGATGACACCACACATGACAAAGCAATGTACAGAATAACTGAAAAATATCTGAGTAAATTAAATAAAAACTCAGCAAATTGAGTCAACGTAAACCAGTGATTAAATAAAGACCAATAAACCCTGAACAAGTTTGAAAAATAAATAATAACACTCATCATTCTGGATAAAACAACCTGAAAACACCTCCTTCCAGATTACTCCAAGAACCAACCCACTTACTGGGAGGTGATACAGTAATGTTTTTTCTCATTTTCAATTTACTTTTTCTCATATTCTTTTTTAATTATTATTATTTATTTCATTCAGCTGACTTCACAAAATAAAAAAAATTCTGACCATATATGCCGTATCACTCCAATATAGATGAATATTTCCAATATGCCAGAAAAGAAACTTGAGAGATTTGCAGCTGAGAGATGATAATTGGGTTGGGAATCAGAAAATACGGGCTTCGTTTTGAATAATGACACTTCTGGTTCACACTGTAGGACCTCAGGCAATTCACTTATTACTTCTTTCTTCCAACTGCCAATGGAAGTTCATATGTATTTCATTTCTCTTCCCTTTAGGCAGCATATATACTAACTAGAAAAGACAGAGCAATAACCTAAGTAGTACGGCTTTATGCAATGCCCAGCAAAGGAGGATCTCTAGGTTCTACTACAATAACAACTGAACTGAGAAAATAACCCATCAGTGACAGAGCACACATGTTCTGTAAGACACATCACAATTAACAGCCACTTCATCAGGAATATATGATAACATGTTTCGTCCCCTTTCATAATTAAAAAAAACCCACACAAAAACAACCCCCCCAAACTCTTGAAACCTTACTTCACTTTCAGAAACATAAAATCGTAGCTGTTTTCTTCATTTGGCTTTGAATTCTTCAGAGAGTTATTCTCCCCTAGGAGAGTTATTCTCCCCTAGGATTACTGCATATGAAACATTTAGGTTTCCACAGAACAGGAATTTCACTCTTGCAAGACAAGACTTCCAAGGTAACACCTTTCATTGGAGCAAATGCTAGAACTAGAAAGAACAGCAAACTTTCCAGCATATGTGTTCTTGCTTTATTCCTATGTGTCTGTGAGCCGTAAATTTATATGATGCATAGTTAATCAAAAATATTTTTTCTCATAGACAAAAAGAGCTCAACAAAAATTCAAAAACATCCACAGTTAAGCATTTGCTAGGTAGAATTCAGAAGACATGCCTCAGAGTATAACACATGCTGCTGGTTATAAATGTTAATAGCTCCCTTCTTCCAAATTGAACAGCGAATAGAGTTCAAGTCAGAGAACAAAAGCTAGATATGTATTTCTGCCTTCACCTTAACTTTTTAAAGCTCAGATCATCTTGACTGAAGTCGGAAAATTGATTTTTTTCCCCACTGTAATGGTTTTCACAGTCTTTTTCAGCCTTTTTCTCTGCTTGTTTGTAACTTACCAATAGCTTAAAAAATACAAATACCCTCCCCCCAAGCATTATATTTAAGAATACGGTTGTCAGTCCAGCATGCCAGCCATCACTCACTTCTTAGCGATGCAAGTTTTTAATAAAAACCTGAGCCACTTCTGACTTATTAATCACTTCTCAGCACCCATTCTTAAATCCCAGCCATGACTAGCATCGGCTCTTTTGATTTTTGGATACTCCATCTTTTAACCAAGTTAATGTAAAATAAGATCTTAAAAGTACATTTTAAATAGTCCTAATTTATTATAACAAACCCAAATACATTTCACAAGACAATGACTCAAAGAGGGGTTTAGGTCAAATACTTATCTATCCACATACTTAGTGTGGTCGGTCACTGAAAGAGGTTCCCCAGGGAAGTGGTCACGGCACCAAGCCTCTCAGAGTTCAAGAAGCATCTGGACAACAGTTGGAATGGATATTCTATGATCCTATTTAAGTTATTAATCTATTCTGAGTGTTCTGTATGTTATGAGGGTGGGAGAGTTAATTGAGAAATGGCAGAAGTATGTCACTGATGTAATAGCTTAAATATTTAGCAAACTATGCTGCAACTAGTTATTGCCAGGAAGCATTCAATGTCTGTTGAGGTATTATGTGCTGTGTCCTCTGACAGCAATAAAATTGCTTCATTTCCCCATTCACTGTCAGAAAACCCTAGAGCCTAAATATTTGTCTCTATAGCCAGTGAAGAACAACAAAACAAAGAAAAATCAAACAGGCCCCATACAGAGGTTTTCCCAAAACTTCTCTCTCTCTGTAATATTATGGCTTCTAAACTCCAAGCTACTATTTTATCCTCAAACATAGCACAGATCTTCTTACATTATGTCCTCTTCTTTCATGAATATAGTGGGTAGTAGTGGTGAAACACATTAAAGTCATTACCAATGGCACACTAATGTCTACTTTTCTTAACTACACTTTCCTGTCTCTGAAATAACATCACCGTATCTTTCAAAGCTTCACCATACATTTGCCAAAGTTTCTCAAAAGCTTGCTGATTTCCAAATTACAAAAGTTGCTGCCATAAGCGAAACAATCACCACCGGCAAACTGGGAGTTAGGAGCTTCTGGTGGTCTTTGTATTCAACAGACATTGAAAAGTTTACTTCAGTAAGAGTCGAACTGGACACGTAAAAGAGAAAAAGTACATTATAGTTGGTTTTTTTTTTTTTTTTACCTAAATAAGACACATAATTTGGGGCATTAGCATAATAGAGGACGTATTGCCAAGTGGAAAGGTATACATTTGTTGTTTCTGCCAAAGTAAAAATGCCAAAGTAAATACATGAAAAAATAGAAAGAACCTCTGTAGATGCAAACTACTAGACACCGAAGAACCTCTGCTTAAACACAACATGATAATTTTGTAATTAATTTAGAAGTCATTAATGTTTAAAGGCTCACACATTCAACCCAACTTTTTCAGTTAGGCTATTCCTGCAATAGTACATTTTACAGAAACAGGGCCTCAGTAAAAACATACTGCACAAAACTGCTCTCATGCAGTACTGTGATTTCCATATCAAAATTCAATCAGCATTTTTCTTTTCTAAATCTTAACAAGACTTTACAAATAAAATCTGAACACAGATTTCCATTGTGTGATAAAACTTAATTGATTTGTTATTTCCTATAGGAACAAATGAAGGTATAAATGAAATGGGACTTGCTTGGATTAAAACTTTAAAAAAAGCATTTTATTTACTATAAAGACCTTTGGTTTTCAGTGTTTAAAGGATCTGAGAGGATTATGAAAACTGACAAGCTAGCAACAAAACCTGATGGATGAAACCCAATATATAAAAAAACAGAAAAAAAAAAAAGCAGCAAGCAACAGCTCCGCAAAAATGGTGTCAAGTTGTCAACTATAATATAAATCACAGGCAGTACTTGCCACAAGGGACAGGCAGTAACTTATCTAATGCCTCAGCAATGTCACAGACCAAACACTTATTAGAAAGGAATACAATACTGCTTATTATTTCAGAAACAGAAGCAACCAGCTATCCTAACCCAGGATCAAGACCATACTGTTCTAAGTACAAAGATATTCCTACCCCTACATTCATCGAAACCTGACTGCAACTTTGGACTAGATTAAACTTAGTTAAGAACAATGCTTTACACAAAACCAATAGGGCCTGACTTCAACATTCATTAATGTTCAAAAAGTACATGCCATATATTCTACACACTGAATGAAGATATTTCTCTGTCCTGAAGGATACATTGATCACTCTCATTACTCTCAATACTCAGTGCAACCACAAAATCTAAGTATTACATTCTGAAAATATAATATAGATAGTCTTTTTCCAGGGAAGTATCTTTGTATAAATATAATTGGTAGCAGCAGTTGTTTTACACTGGAGACACCACACAGATCCATCCAACTTGTCAAAAAAAAAATAAATATTAAGATAAGCGTGAGACTCAGGGCACTCTGAAGTAAAATACAACAGGGAAGAGATAGCTGTATTTCCAAAGCAGCAACCAGCTTTCGGGAAAGAGGGGAAAAAAAATATAATATCATTCTGAGAACAATTTGCCTCTGAAGTGAAAACAGGAAAAACAGAGAAGGCATTGAACCGTGTTTGCATTCCCTAAACAAAAGATGTTTTTTCAGACACTGCCCAAGACTGTCTATAAAAAGCACTCCTTTAAATGAAAGCACCAAAGCTGCCTCATTCATGAACTCAGAAATGCCATAGAAAACACTCTGGGAGCTAATGGAAAGCTTAGCAAAGGAACCAACCATCCAAAACAACAGAATTGCCTGAAAGACAAGGAAAATAACTCCAGCTAGTAGAAGTGTTAACCAACATCAAGCGAAGAAAGCAAACTACAACTGCATGAAAAAGTTGCCATAGTTTGTCATCTAAAGCTAACAGTCCAGTTCTAATAACATTTACAAGAAGAGGACTAGAAGTTAATGGTGGCTATAATTCCAACAAATAGGTCACTCTGATATCCCATGGTTCCCAATCAGAAAGCAGCCCTAGAGAGTTAGAGAACAACGAGTTACACTGATTC